AATCTCCTGTCATCGACACACGAGCATCGTCACACAATCTCCTGTCACCGACACACGAAAATCGTCATACAATCTCCTGTCATCGAAACACGAGCATCACCACACAATCTCCAGTCACCGACACACGAACATCACCACACAATATCCTGTCACCGACACACGAACATCACCACACAATCTTCTGCCCCTAAATTAACAAATGGAAGGCAGACTAACCTTCTGAAAGCATCAAACACCAAAGTGCCAGAAAAGCCAAGATTAGCAAATACTTCATCTCGATAATGATCTCACTTGTGTTTCTGGAACCGTCAGTGTTCTTTGAATGAGACAAACAACACGTCAAAACGATCTCTTTAAATTTTATACTGTGGTCACATTAATCAAACTTTGGTCTGTAAATTTCTTGAGAAAATTTGGAATCAAAACAGATGGTCTTAGATCAAAATAAGATTTGACATTGACAAAGGTAACTGTTAATTAAGTTAAGATATCATCATCATCATCGCGTGTCATTGTGTGTCACAGTCTGTTCACCCATTACCTGATATCATAGACATCATCATTATCATAACCAATTATGCCGTAAAGGGACGTAGGGAGGAATAATTTGCGATCCAGTGCACGCTGGCTGCAACTGGCTATTGAAATCCTATACAATCCATTCGATTTCATGGACTGAATTCAGTCGCCCAACTTTGACCTCTCTAATCAACGTTCGTTTCTGGGTTTCTACTAGACGTCATCGTTTTCTCAATCCATTTGTTTCCCATTAAAGTGTCTATTTTGTGATTCTCTGCTCACTTTATCCAGGATGTGCTCAATATAGCCACATATCATTTGTCTTATAACTCACGATGAAAGCGGTTGTTGCGATATTTCTCTTATTTCTCCACCTCACTCGAATTCATCCCATATAATGTTCATCCATTAGACATTTGACATTTGTTTGTGAATGCATTTCACTATAATTTCACACTGGACTGTAAGAAGGAGAAGCAGGTCGTTTACAGAACGTTTCTCGCATCACCGACTCTACAAGAGCATCATTTTGCCAGTTCTTCTAGAAGGACGCAGACAAGCTGTCCACCTTCCACCACACATATCTACGAAGTATTATCAAAATTTTCTGGCCAGATGCAATCTCAAACACTAAACTACTTCAAGTCACAAACCAAGAACTTTAGACAGTATGATAACCAAGAGAAGATGGAAATGACTTGGCCAAGTTATGAGAATGAATCCTGATATGCCTGCCAAAACAGCTCTCGCATGGACAAACGATGGAAAGTGACATAATTGCGGCATCTTTGACATGGAAAACTGCACTGAAGATTGCACAGGACAGGAAAGCATGGGCCGTCCTCTCTGAAGCCTCGTGTGCCGCTAGGCATAACGAGAACTGATGATGATGATTATGCTCTCATCACGGAACCCTGGAAAACTACTCGGTTCCTTGCCGGCTTTGCCAGCTCATCAACGTCCAAGCCCACGGTGCTCTTCACAACCTAATTTCAGTATCCTTCTGGTCCACTCCAGACACGTCTTACGAGAAGCTTAACCTCCTTTCCTGTCGTCTCCAAACTATTAGGACATTTCAAATGGCTGAAGTTTCCTATTTACTTTCCCCGTGTGGGTTCCGTCGGGTTTATCAAATATATGTGCACGCAACAACGCAAGTTCTGGGATAAGACTAAAGTCCAGAAGTGGAGGAACAACCTGAACTTTTCGCCAGAGTTTACACCTGGTGACCGCTAAGGAGAAAGAAGATATAGCCGTAACATTCCAGTTTACGAAAAACTGTCCATGAGCATGTATCCTCGATATTAAGATCCTGCAAGATGTGAGTTTGTTTTCCTGCACGGTCCATAATGTTCTACAATCTGTCCGTAACATTTGAATTCAAAACTCCTTAGTTTATGTTGCAGTGTTTGCCAAATTGTCCACGACTCTAATATGTTTGTTACTCAATACTACTTAAGCACTGAAATGGATCTAATTCTTTCTAGCTTATAATCTTCTGATTACTCAAACTTTGAAGAACATATGTAGTCTATATCCTACCCCAGATAACGTTACAGGACAGTCCAACTTTTTAGAGAGGTAAGACTGGGTTTCCCGGCTTTTTAATGCTTTTAAGGACCCCAAAATATCTAGAACTGGCCCTAATCCCAACCCACATACGTCCCACAAGGGAGTGCAGCCTAGGTCCCACGACTGCATGCAACCTAGGTCCCACGACTGCATGCAGTCTATCTACAACCCCTTAAAATATTAGACTGTTCTGTGACCTGTGGATTTCCCTGTTTGGGGAAGCACCCGTAGTCTCAGTCCGAACCGTCATAATGAACCCTCGGCACCGCTGATCTGCATGGCTGCGTGTCTACTGTTGCAGGATAATGGCACGATAAATGTTTTGTCTTTCTTGCAGATTAGTTGCACCATAAAATGTCTGTTATTTATCTTGCTTGTTTGTCTTTCTTACAGATCAACTGTCCATTAAATGTCTAGTGTTTGTCTTTCTTACAGATCAACTGTCCATTAAATGTCTAGTGTTTGTCTTTCTTACAGATCAACTGTCCATTAAATGTCTAGTTAAATGTCTAGTGTGTCTGTCAACTGTCTGTCTAGTGTTTGTCTTTCTGATCAACTGTCCATTAAATGTCTAGTGTTTGTCTTTCTTACAGTCTGTCTGTCTGTCTTTCTTACTCAACTTCCATTAAAATGTCTAGTGTTTGTCTTTTCTTACAACCGCTGTTAAATGTATTCTTGTTTGTCTTTCTCTTACAGAAACTGTCCATTAAATGTCTAACAGCTCGCTGTCCATTAAATGTCTAGTGTTTGTCTTTCTTAAAGATCTTTGTTTAAATGTCTAGTACTTTCTTACAGATCAACTGTCCATTAAATGTCTAGTGTTTGTCTTTCTTACAGATCAACTGTCCATTAAATGTCTAGTGTTTGTCTTACTTACAGGTCAACTGCACATTAAATGGCTGCTGTTTGTCTATCTTACAAGTCAACTGCACATTAAATATCTGCTGTTTGTCTTTCTTACAATCAACTGTCCATTAAATGTCTAGTGTTTGTCTTTCTTACAGATCACCATTGAAGATCAACTGTCCATTAAATGTCTAGTGTTTGTCTTTCCCATTACTAGTGTTTGTCTTTCTTACAGATCCGCACAGTGTTTGTCTTTCTTACAGATCATGTCCATTAAATGTCTAGTGTTTGTCTTTCTTACAGATCAACTGTCCATTAAATGTCTAGTGTTTGTCTTTCTTACAGATCAACTGTCCATTAAATGTCTAGTGTTTGTCTTTCTTACAGATCAACTGTCCATTAAATGTCTAGTGTTTGTCTTTCTTACAGATCAACTGTCCATTAAATGTCTAGTGTTTGTCTTTCTTACAGATCAACTGTCCATTAAATGTCTAGTGTTTGTCTTTCTTACAGATCAACTGTCCATTAAATGTCTAGTGTTTGTCTTTCTTACAGATCAACTGTCCATTAAATGTCTAGTGTTTGTCTTTCTTACAGATCAACTGTCCATTAAATGTCTAGTGTTACAGATCAACTGTCCATTAAATGTCTAGTGTTTGTCTTTCTTACAGATCAACTGTCCATTAAATGTCTAGTGTTTGTCTTTCTTACAGATCAACTGTCCATTAAATGTCTAGTGTTTGTCTTTCTTACAGATCAACTGTCCATTAAATGTCTAGTGTTTGTCTTTCTTACAGATCAACTGTCCATTAAATGTCTAGTGTTTGTCTTTCTTACAGATCAACTGTCCATTAAATGTCTACAGATCAACTGTCCATTAAATGTCTAGTGTTTGTCTTTCTTACAGATCAACTGTCCATTAAATGTCTAGTGTTTGTCTTTCTTACAGATCAACTGTCCATTAAATGTCTAGTGTTTGTCTTTTTACAGATCAACTGTCCATTAAATGTCTAGTTTTGTCTTTCTTACAGATCAACTGTCCATTAAATGTCTAGTGTTTGTCTTTCTTACAGATCAACTGTCCATTAAATGTCTAGTGTTTGTCTTTCTTACAGATCAACTGTCCATTAAATGTCTAGTGTTTGTTTTTCTTACAGATCAACTGTCCATTAAATGTCTAGTGTTTGTCTTTCTTACAGATCAACTGTCCATTAAATGTCTAGTGTTTGTCTTACTTATAAGGAAATCGCATCACAAATATTTTCTGTTTGTCTTTCCTGCAGGTTAGTTGCAACCCAAATATTTTCTGTTTGTCTTTCCTGCCGGTTAATCGCACCGAAATGTTTTCTGTTTGTCTTTCCTGCAGGTTAATCGCACCTAAATGTTTTCTGTTTGTCTTTCCTGCAGGTTAATCGCACCTAAATGTTTTCTGTTTGTCTTTCCTGCAGGTTAATCGCACCGAAATGTTTTCTGTTTGTCTTTCCTGCAGGTTAATCGCACCTAAATGTTTTATGTTTGTCTTTCCTGCATGTTAATCGCACCGAAATGTTTTCTGTTTGTCTTTCCTGCAGGTTAATCGCACCTAACTGTTTTATGTTTGTCTTTCCTGCAGGTTAATCGCACCGAAATGTTTTCTGTTTGTCCTTTCTGCAGGTTAATCGCACCTAACTGTTTTATGTTTGTCTTTCCTGCAGGTTAATCGCACCGAAATGTTTCCTGTTTGTCTTTCCTGCAGGTTAATCGCACCTAAAGGTTTTCTGTTCGTCTTTCCTGCAGATTAATCGCACCTAACTGTTTTATGTTTGTGTTTTCTGCAGGTTAATCGCACCTAAATGTTTCCTGTTTTTTTTTTCTGCAGGTTAATCGCACCTAAATGTTTCCTGTTTGTCTTTTCTGCAGGTTAATCGCACCTAAATGTTTCCTGTTTGTCTTTTCTGCAGGTTGATCGCACCTAAATGTTTCCTGTTTGTCTTTTCTGCAGGTTAATCGCACCTAACTGTTTTATGTTTGTCTTTTCTGCAGGTTAATCGCACCGAAATGTTTCCTGTTTGTCTTTTCTGCAGGTTAATCGCACGCTAAACGTCTTCTACATCACAAGTTTAGGCGTGATTATCATCTTCGTCGCCCCGGCCGCCATGTTTACCTACGTGGAGCAGTGGCACTTCATGGAGTCCGTCTACTTCTGTTTCACAACACTCAGCACCATAGGTTTCGGGGACTACGTTATAGGTAAGTGTAGACGGTTAGACAAAACTGTCTGGACTATTGGTAGGCGGTTACATTATAACTGACCTCATGGCAGTGACCAAGGTACAAACATGGCTGGGACACACAGACTTTCAACCGCGCGTGTTTTCTCAGTGACTCAATGAGTAGGCTCAGGAAGATAGCGATGGGCTAGGTCCGAAGACAGTGGTTGGAGTCTCTGAAGGAGTCAGGGCTGACAAAATATGACTTTCGTGTTCGTGTCAGGGCAGGCATGTGTGCAAGGAAATGAGTACGCTGATATGCTTGCAAGTGAAGCTACGGTAGAGGGCAGGCAAGCCATGGACCATGCTGATATTCTGAATGCTGTACGAAAAGTGAGCCGTTTGCAAGAACGAGGTGATGACTCTGAGTCTACAACAATGACCAGACTGCAAGAACAACATGTTAAAAGAGATGTGGCCAGGCAAGAGCACTATACGGGAAGCCAAAGAAGAATGAGAACTCAACGCAGAGCTGTAGTCGTTAGCCGCTACACGCTGTGGGAATTACCGAGGAGAGCATCCGAGCACCTATGGCCTGAATGGTTCTATGTGCATTGAAGATAATCTGTCGACTAACTAATTAGCTATAACTGAATTATTGTACAGGTAAGTGTTGGTCACGCAAGAGTATGTGGGCTACATTAGTCAGGTCTGTGTAGGGAATGCGGGTGTTGCTGACAATTAAAGAGCCGATAAATTTGCGGCTCTGACGTAGATGCAGATAATCTGCCTGTAGATCGAGTCGACATAACTATTGCCCTTAGAGAGAAATGATGATTGTTTGATTAGGGGGGAAAGATGTTCACATCACTGCTGAGAATGCAAGATTTGGGGGCAAAGATGTTCACATCATTGCTAATGATGCAAGATTTGGGGGCAAAGATGTTCACATCCCTGCTAAGAATGCAAGATTTGGGGGAAAAGATGTTTACATCACTGCTAAGAATGCAAGATTTGGGGGCAAAGATGTTCACATCCCTGCTAAGAATGCAAGATTTGGGGCAAAGATGTTCACATCCCTGCTAAGAATGCAAGATTTGGGGGCAAAGATGTTCACATCCCTGCTAAGAATGCAAGATTTGGGACAAAGATGTTCACATCCCTGCTAAGAATGCAAGACTTGGGGGCAAAGATGTTCACATCCCTGCTAAGAATGCAAGATTTGGGACAAAGATGTTCACATCCCTGCTAAGAATGCAAGATTTGGGACAAAGATGTTCACATCCCTGCTAAGAATGCAAGATTTGGGACAAAGATGTTCACATCCCTGCTAAGAATGCAAGATTTGGGGGCATGATCGGCACAGCCAGGCATGACACTGACAATAACACAATCCAAACAAATCAGATCATTAAGTCTAACATTATAGAAGCCTTGACCTATCTATCCATCCATCCGTCGAACCATCTATTTATCCCTTTATTCCTCCATCCACTAATCCACCCTAACCTTCAAGATAAGAAATTGGTACTCGCGGCATGGATAGATTTAAGGAAAGCTTTTGACAAGGTTTGGAAGGAGGGGTTTTTGAAGAAATTGAGAAACTATAAAGTAAATGGAAGAATGTACAATTGGATTAGAGCATATCTACATAACAGAAGAGCCAGGGTACAGGTAGATGGTTTCAAAAGTAAAAAAGTTCTACTGCGACATGGCGTCCCTCAAGGTGGTGTCCTGTCGCCCACACTTTTCCTCTTATTAATCAACGACCTGGTTGCTGAAATACCAAATGGAATCAAAATGGCAATGTATGCCGACGACCTGGTACTGTGGTGCACCGACGAACATGCAACGATAGCAACAAGAACACTACAGCGGGCTACATATGCACTTGAGGCATAGGCGAATAGATGGTGTGTCAGCATCAATACAGACAAATGTAGCACCACACTCTTCACTCTCTCCCCAAAGCAAAAAGCGGGCATCGTCAAAATAAACGGAATAACCCTAAGAGACGATAGAGAGCCCACATACCTAGGAGTCACATTTGATGAGAGGTTGACATGGAGAAACATATCAACAAGGCAGCAACCAAAGTCAGGAGGAAGACAGCTATACTAAGAAAACTAAGTGGAACCACATGGGGAGCCAGTGGGAAAATACTCAATAAAGTATACAAGCAGAGCATACAAACACTTGGAATATGGGTCAACTGCATGGTGTTCAGCATCTCGTACCACATTGAAGGAGTTGGACAAAGTGCAAAATCAAGCACTCAGAGTCATCACAGGAGGGATAAAATCAACCCCCATATTAGAAATGGGGAAAGCTGGGAAAACACAGGCACTGAGAGAACGCAGAGATACAGTTGCAAATGCAAGCTGAAAAGTTCCTCAGCATGCCAGATCACCTCATGAAAAATAGATTTCAGAACTTAGCCTTTGGACGGTTAAAAAGAAGCAGCTTTATACATCAAGCAAAAAGAATATGTAGACAAACTCCTGACCTTCCAGAAATTGTTTGTCCACTTAACAGTATTCCAGAACAAACCCCATGGAGAGAGAAATGAAACTAACAGTACAAATCCAGACAAATGTGAAAGGAATAAGATAGTGTATAACACAGAATAGCCACCCACAGTTATATTGATGAAGAATACCTACAAGAACAATGGGTCAGAGTCTTTACAGATGGGTCCGCAGAAAGTGCATTAGAAATGATGGTGCTGGAGTGTACATAGAATTCCCAGATGGTACTAAGGATAAGTCCAGTTCACCAACCGGAAAGTACTGCCATAACTATGATGCAGAAACTCAGGCTATCAAGATAGCAACAGAGAAACTGCTAAATACCAATCTTGGCTCACAGTATGTGGTAATGCTGACAGATGCAAAATCAGTACTTGAAGCACTCCAGTCTAGGAAACTACCAGAAGTGCAAACACTGCACAACTTAGCCTTTAGCGAAGAGTTGTAATGCAGTGGATACCATCACATTGTGGAGTGCCTGGAAATGAGAAAGCTGATCAACAGGAGAAGGTGCGACAAAAGTGCAGCCGGATGTACCAGTCACATACCACCAAAAGAAAAGAATCATTAAATCAATCAGGAAACCACCAGCCCCAGCACAAGACGACTATTTTATTATGGACAGATCCGAACAAGTCATTATCCCCCGCCTCAGAACAGGGCACAACCGATTACGTAACCACATGTACACACAATTCAAGATAGGCGTATCAGCCGTGTGCACCTGTGGAAAGGTGCCCCAGACAACAGAGCATGTACTCAAGGACTGCACCAAATTTGACACATTAAGGCAAACCTTTTGGCCAGAAAGAACAACAGTGGAACGTAAACACTATGGACCACTGAATGAACTAACAACGACAGTGAAATTTATACAAGAGACCAAATTGCTGATATAAACAACTTATTTCAGGCAAACGAAAGAAGAAGAAGATCCACCCCGCACCCATCCATACATCCATCCATCCAATTGCTTATCAACCCTCCCATCAATCCATCCAATCATCTATCTATCTATCTATCTATCTATCTATCTATCTATCTATCTATCTATCTATCTATCTATCTATCTATCTATCTATCTATCTATCTATCTATCTATCTATCTATCTATCTATCTATCTATCTATCTATCTATCTATCTATCTATCTATCTATCTATCTATCTATCTATCTATCTATCTATCTATCTATCTATCTATCTATCTATCTATCTATCTATCTATCTATCTATCTATCTATCTATCTATCTATCTATCTATCTATCTATCTATCTATCTATCTGTCTGTCTATCTGTCTATCTGTCTATCTGTCTATCTGTCTATCTGTCTGTCTATCTATCTATCTATCTATCTATCTATCTATCTATCTATCTATCTATCTATCTATCTATCTATCTATCTATCTATCTATCTATCTATCTATCTATCTATCTATCTATCTATCTATCTATCTATCTATCTATCTATCTATCTATCTATCTATCTATCTATCTATCTATCTATCTATCTATCTATCTATCTAGTATGTATGTATGCATGAGTGTATGTATGTATGTGAGTATCTGTATGGGTGATTGTATATGTGTGTTTGCATGCATGTGTAGGTATGTATGTAATGTGTGTCGGCATGTATGTGGGTGTGTGTATGTATGCATGTTTGTGGATGTGTGTATGCATTTGTAGATGTATAAGTATGTGGGTGTATGTGTGTGTATTTAGGTATGTATGCATGTATGTGTGTAAAGATGTAGGTGTATGTATTGATGTGTGTATGTATATGTGTGTATGTATGTTTACATGTGAGTGTAAATGTGTGGTTGTGGGTGTCTGTACATGTGATTGTATGTGTGTGTATGCATGCATGCATGTATAGGTGTGTATGTATGGAATGTGTGTGTGCATGTATGTCCATATATGTATGTGTGTGTCTTTTCTGTTTGTGTATATATGTAGATGTATATATGTATGTTTGTGTTAGGTATGTCTGTATATGAGTGTGCATGTATGAGAATGTGAGAGCATATATATATATATGTGTGTGAGTGTGTAAGACTGTGTACACATGATGTATGTATTATATTCTATAATGTATATTTTTATTCTATATCTATAACATGCATTTTAGATAACAGGCATTGGTACTCTGTAAAAGGAGTGCTTAGAAGGGCCGAATGTCAGACGGGCCTGCGTGCCCAATTTGTAACCCTTTGAAAATAAAGTTTGTTCGTTCGTTCGTTCTATCTATCTATCTATCTATCTATCTATCTATCTATCTATCTATCTATCTATCTATCTATCTATCTATCTATCTGTCTATCTGTCTGTCTGTCTGTCTGTCTGTCTGTCTGTCTGTCTGTCTGTCTGTCTGTCTGTCTGTCTGTCTGTCTTTATGATCGTATGTCTGTTTGGGCCTGCAAATCCATTTTATGGCTCTTAAAAATTACAATTAGTTCGTTTGTTCTGTCCGTCTGTCTATCTACCTCTCTCTCTCTCTCTGTCTCACTCAATCTCTATCCCTCTGTGTCTCACTCACTCACTCTCTCTCTCTCTCTCTCTCTCTCTCAGTGTCGTACTTACTCTCTCTATCTGTGTCTCACTCACTCTCTCTCTCTCTGTGTCTCACTCTCTCTCTCTGTGTGTCTCACTCACTCTCTCTGTCTCTGTCTCACTCACTCTCTCTCTCTGTGTCACTCACTCTCTCTCTGTATGTGTCTCACTCACTCTCTCTCTCTGTCTCACTCCCTCCCCTCTCTCTCTCTTTCTCTCTCTGTCTCTCTGTCTTACTCACTCTCTCTCTCTCTCTTTGTCTCACTCACTCTCTGTTTCTCACTCTCTCTCTCTCTCTGTGCCTCACTTACTCTCTCTGTCTGTCTCACTTACTCTCTCTTTCTCTTTCTCTCTCTGTTTCACTCTCTCTCTTTCTTTCTCACTCTCTCTCTCTCTGTGTCTCACTCACTCTCTCTGTGTGTCTCACTCACTCTCCTTCTGTCTCACTCACTCTCTCTCTGTCTCACTAACTCTCTCACTCTCTCTCTCTCTCTCTCTCTCTCTCTCGTTCTCTCTCTTTCTCTCTCTTTCTGTCTCACTCACTCTCTCTTTCTTTCTCACTCTCTCTGTGTCTCACTCACTTTCTCTCTCTCTGTGCCCCACTCACTCTCTCTCTCTCTTTCTTTCTTACTCTCTCTCTGTCTCACTCACTCTCTCTCTTTCTTTCTCACTCTCTCTCTGTCTCACCCACTCTCTCCCTTTCTCTCTTTCTCTCTCTCTTTCTCTCTCTCTCTCTGTGTCTCACTCACTCTCTCTCTCGCTCTATTTCTCACTCTCTCTCTCTGTCGCACTCACTCACTCACTCTCTCTCTCTCTCTCTCTCTCTCTCTCTCTCTCTCTCTCTCTCTCTCTCTCTCTCATAGGATTAGAGTTCTTACATGTCCGAGGCTAGACGCTGGAAGGTCGTGATGTTGACGACATCCTACACCGAGCACCGATTGGTCAATAAAATACAGGCCTAGCCCTATGTGTCCAATACTCTTGAAGACGTGGAAAATGCATTTTCTCTTTTGTTCACCCCATCTCGAGGACTCGGTATAGGGGTGTAAGGGTGTGAAACGAACACTGATTAACACTATTTTTTCCCTTCCCGCTCCCTAATATTGGACTCCCCATGTAATATCGGAGTCCCCGAGATGGGGTGAAGAAAAGAGAAATGCACTAAATAGGATCCTGTAAACAAACAAACAAACAAACTAAGAGACAATACAGCTGAACTAAAACAACCATTGTGTACCCTCCAGGTATCCATGAGACCAGGCTGACCAACATTTACGCCCACGAGTTCTACGAGGTGATCGCCTACGTGTGGATCCTGCTGGGTCTGGCCTATCTGTCGCTGGTGTATCGCTACATCACCGACAGTATGGTGGCCAAGGCACAGGAAGTGGGTCGCTCCACTTTAAGGCGACTGGGGGTAGGTAGTTAGTGTTGTGTGTAGCAGGGCTGTCCTCTTTCCAGAATACAAATCCAGACCCATCATCATCATCATCATCATCATCTTCATCATCATAATCATCATCGTCGTCGTCGTCATCATCATCATCATCATCATCACCATCCCATCATCATCATCACCATCACATCATAATCGACATCATCACATAAACATCACATCATTGTTATATTCATCACCACATTATCATCATTACTCATCATCACTACATCATCATCATCGTCATCATCATCGTCATCATCATCGTCATCATCATCACAACATTATTATATCACATCATCATAATCATCACATCATCGTCATCGTCGTCATCGCATCATCATCACAACATCGCCATCACATCATCATCGTCATCACATCATCATAACATTATCATAAAATTATTATCATCATCACATCATCATCACGTTATCATCATCGTCATCACATCAACATCATCATCACATCATCATAATCACATCATCATCGTCATCATCACAACATCGTCATCACATCATCGTCATCACATTATTATCGTCATCACATCTTCATCGTTATCATCACAACTTCGTCATCACATCATTATCATCATCAGATCACCATCACATCATTATCACATCATCATCATCATCGTCATCATCACATCCTCATCACATCATTATTATCAACACAATATCATTATAATCATCACATCGTCATCACATTATCATCATCACATTATTATCACATATTCATCATCACATAATCATTATCTTTATCACATCGTCATCACATCATCATCATCATTACACCATCATTAACATTATCGAATCATCATCACTTCATCATCGTCATCACGTCATCATCACATCATCATCATCCCTGTCATCATCATCATCATCACATTATTATCATCCTATCATCGTCATATTATCATCATATCATCATCATCATCACATCATCAACATCGTCGTCAGTATCAACATCGTCATCATCATCAGCAGCACATCGTTATCAGATCATCATCATATCATTATCGTCATCACATCATCATCGTCATCGTCATCACGTCATCTTCATCACATCATCATCATCATCATCATTATCATCATCACATCATCCTAATCATCATCACATTATCATCATCACATCATCCTCATCACATCATCATCATCATCACATTATCATCATCACATCATCATCATCCTTATCATCGTCATATCATCATCATCACATCATCCTCATCATCGTCATATCATCATCATCATCACATCATCATCATCCTCATCATCGTCATATCATCATCATCATCACATCATCCTCATCATCACTTCACCCTCGTCGTCATCATCACATCATCATCATTGGCATCATCATCACATCATCATCATTATCACAACATCATCACTATCACATCATCATCATCATCGTCATTATCACATCATCCTCATCATCACATCACCCTCGTCGTCGTCATCATCATCACATCATCGTCACATCATCATCATCATCATTGGCATCACCATCATTACATCATCATCATTATCACATCATCGTAATCATCATCATCCTCATAATCATCACATCACGAACATCCGGTGCCTTTGTGCATCACTCATAGCTTGCAATCATGTCTCCCACTCCGTTCTTCAGTCTAATCTACTGATGTGAACGATACTTTATTTCTAATTCACCCCAAACAAAGGAAATCACGGAATTCCCGAGACAGTCCAATATTCTAGAGAGTAGGATTAGGGTCTCTGCAGAGACAGCAATTAATCCTAACCTTTCATATAACCCTAACACTAACCCTAGCCCATAATACCCTAAGAATATTTGACTTTTCAGTAGAACTCTAGGATTTCATGTGTTTGAATGAATTAAGAGTAAAGTACCATGTAAATAAAATTAGAAATCAACTCGATGCCAGGGCGATGTATGTTCTTTGTAACTTGTTAGTAACAAGTGCATTTTTCACACTAAATAAATCATCTGTGTCTAATACTATACTTTTATCTTAAAATATCCATACCCCCTCCCACCCCACCCCCACCCCCGTTTCTAAATATTTGTGAAGGACTATGCATGGAACACTCTACTATTCTGGCGGTTTGCAACATTTTTTCAAAACAATATTTTTCTGTAAAGGTTTGTGTCCGCATTTTTTAGATTCGTTATGAGAAAACAATGTTTTGATTACTTAAGGCCGTAGTACCGGCTATTTGTTAAGGCATTTTTTTCCCCCCAGAGCAACAAGACACTTTGTGGTGAGTACCAGCACATTTGATTTATTCACTCTTGTACGTGTACCGGCACTTTTGTTTTGTTTGGGTGCAGGGGAAAAGGGACAGGGGTGGGGAAAGGGAGGGGAGGCTCTTTTCCAATTCACTTTTTTATTTTATTTCCTGCTAAACTTTCTAGTTTCCCCTGTCACAAAATGTAACTCTAAATCCCCTCCTTTAAAAATAATAGAGGACGAAATGTTCCCTATATTCTATTTCCCTTCCAACAACATGAACCGAAAAACTCGATCCTTTAACGCAGATTTCCAGAATGTTCGACAACCCCCGCACCTTAGATAAATGTTATAAAGTCTTTGCATCATGCGATGCTAAAAGCTTTCATGGACACAAATCAGTCAGACAACACATCAACTTATGTACTGGTCTTTCACACGCAACCCATCTCTTGTAGGACATACAATGCACTTCTTGCTAACCTGAGACGATGCAGTCAGAGCGTGAAGATGACACAGTAACGTTGTTACAGACGAGGTCAATCAATGCTGATATAGTAGATTAGAGAACATTGAACAGTTGTGGATCAAATCTCGCATCGCAGTTTGTTTTCATCCCTTTCACAGAGGCCTTCTTATGGTACTATTTCTTCTTCTTCTTCTTTGTCTTCCTCTTCTTCTTCTTCTTCTTCTTCTTCTTCTTCTTCTTCTTCTTCTTCTTCTTCTTCTTCTTCTTCTTCTTCTTCTTCTTCTTCTTCTTCTTGTTCTCCTTCTTCTTCTTTTTCTGTTTCTTCCGCTTTTTCTTTTCCTTATCCTCCTCTTCCTCTTCTCTTTTTTTTCTTTCTAAAGTTTAATTGACCCATTTTAAAAAGGGTAAAGGAAAAAGTGTTGGGAAGTAAAAATGACCACTATGATATAAACCGCATTATCCATAGAATACCGACTACTCTATACAAATACGCCGGAAGCGGCAGTTACTCAACAGCCTTACAAACGTGTGCGCGCACGTATTACTTCTAATTGTTAACAGATAAGTGTATCCTACTGACTCTTCTGCCTTTGCATGCTGTCTGTTTAGACTGCCTGTTCAAATTATCGTTTCAGATGACTGACTCTGCACATTGCTGTCCACAGCCGGACTTCACCAAGAATGTAAGCAAGAACACGAGTCCAGCGTCTTCAACGTCTTCCTCTCGGGCCAGCAGCCCGGAGAGCTATCGCCGCTACAAGAGCTCCGTTCACAGAGAAGACACGGAGCTTATCTGTGAGATTGAAGTGCCCATGCCCAGACCTCTAGCGAGGCCTATCATCGGGGCACAGACTTCAGTCTGATCAGGGGTTCCTAAACTGGTATTGAAAGGGCAGGACTTTGAAAAAACAGTGTGCCAGAGTCGTATAAATAAAAACAATCAACCTAACTGAATAGTAGAACCAGTCAGATTTTTAGCAAAATACAATAATGACAGACGAAATAAACGTAGCGGCTAGAAAATCTACAACAGCATACAACACAGGGGCGAGGTATGATCACTTTGCATGTGTAAGCGCTGACAGGTAATAATTACACTGGAGAGAGTATCATGTGACAATTTCCAGTTCACTGCTTCACTGTTGAGATAATGCGCACACAGCTACCATTGAAGTACTGGTAACTGGTAGCTTTCACACGTTACACTTTCTTTATGAGTGTCACCTAAGCATTCGGTGACTGTTATTTTCGCCATGTTAATACTCTTAACAAGTGTTACATGCTCGGCGAGAGATGAACCAAGTGGCGTATTTGTAATAAATAGTCAAACTAATGGAGCTTTTCTTTTGCAATGGAATGTGTCAGCGGCGATTACATCTGTTACATGCACGTCTGGTCACTGACACAACATCACGGACTATGATACAGCTCACACAATACTACAGATAATAAATTATCTGTATGGAGAAGGAAGTCGACTCTTATATAAAATATAGTTTTGCTGATTGCACTGACGTGAATAGTGGCATTTTCTCGTGTGTGCAGGAAGTGTTTTAGAGAGATTAGAAAGATGAAAGGTTACAAGGTTGCGATCAGGAAACGTTAGGTTAGTTGCGTATCCTTTACAGGACGTTGCAGAACCAACCCCAACAGCCCCTGGATGTTGTGTAGTTTTTCTAGGCAAATTTACGTCCAGTAATTTGCCATTGCTTTCTGGACGGTCAGCTTTTTTGATACCACTGTCGAAACCAACGCAAGGCACATGGCCCACAGCTGGGATCGAACCCGGCATTCCAGCATTGTGAAGCGTTCGCATCGACTTAGCCACAGAGCAAACGATCAGATAAGACTATGTGCAAAATTGTTAGATGAAACAGTGCTGAATATTGAGGTCATACGGAGATTGACAGTCCAATTCTCCAAATACGTGTGCGCTGTTTCACGAAAAAAGCAAGAGGATGTTGTTTCAACTAGTCCTTTTCAAGAATCTATTACTTCAATTAATGACAATTTGGCTAGCAGGAGTTCAAATATATCACGAGACGGGGCGAGTTAAACTTAAGACGGGACAGGATGAGTGCCAACAATGTAATGGGTTGCCGGGGTTTAAGACGAGTATAGGACATTAGCTCTTACAATCTTGTTATCCAGAGAGGACCATCACACAGCCGACATTCTGGGTTGATGACAACACCCATCTCTATACAACAGTCAGACAAGGTCTACAGTTCCTCTGTCTATTGCTGCCCTGCATATATGAAAGAACATCATTGAAGGTTTGAAGGTTTAAACACAGGATCAA